GCTTTTCTCTCAGCCATTTCTCTTGGGGATAAAGGCATTATCTTGGGGATAAATGTTCCCGCCTCCTTCTCTAGCCTCTGGTTTATTCTCTGGGCAGGATTCACCCTGACCGCCTACTTACTCCTCCTACCGCAGGGCCTTTGCATGAGCTCCTGTCTGGTCAGCACTGCCCAGCGTGGCTCCTTTAATTCTCAGGGGATTCCGTCAGCCCTTCTCCCGTCTGGGGTTGGAGGTTTGCCTGTTACCACCTGTGCCACTTGCAGGTCTGCACCTGTTGGTTGAGTTGTTGGGGCCTAGCCTTCCTATCAACCACATACTTCATGAGGCAGGCGCTGGGTCTGGCTTACTTACCTGTGGCTCCCTAGTAATTACTTGGTAAACATTGAAAAAGTAAATATCTGTGCCCCAGGGAAGTGAGGAGAAGGCTGGAGTTAAAGCTCATGTGTCCTGACATCCAAGTCAGCGTGTTTCCCTTTCATTATGTCCCCCGGGGACAGGGTATTGTGGTGGTCTGGGCCACTCTTCAGGTCCAATTATGCGGTCTCTTCCCACCTTAGTGTTAAAAACCGGTCGGACACGGTGGAGCTAAGATATTAAGCAGCTCATTTTCTGTCTCATGAATTTTTTTTAAAAATATATTTTATTGATTTTTTTTTCACAGAGGGGAAGGGAGAGGGATACATAGTTAAAAACATTGATGAGAGAGAATCGTCGACCAGCTGCCTCCTGCACACCCCCCACTGGGAATGTGTCCGCAACCAAGGTACATGCCCTTGACCGGAATCGAACCCGAGACCTTTCAGTCCGCAGACCGACGCTCTATCCACTGAGCCAAACCGGTTTCAGCTCATGAATTTTTATTTAACTTCTGACACCTGCTGCTGTTGACTGAGATTTTGTTGTGAACATGTGTTTAGCCCACATTACATAGACATGTTGAGCTAAATTTGTAAGTGCTTGGTGGGTGCCCTGCAAAGCATGCCACGAATGCCATGTCCTCATCCTCCCTTCAAGTTCAGGAGGCAATTAAGTTCTTTTCCATGGTGAGACTCTACCTGCCCCTGCCCTTTCCCTGCTCTTACCCCCAGCCTTGCCCCTGTCCCTACCCCTACTCTGCCCCTATTCCATTTCTGCCCTGCCCCTGCCCCTGGCACAGCAGTTTCCCATGATAAGGCCCTAAACACGGGGGTGTGTGGAAGCTACAGTCCTCTCCCCGGAGTGGTGATCTTTCTAAGCAGCACAGCAAATGCAATCTTTGTGCCATAAAGTCCCGTGTGAAATACTGCTCTGAGCAGTCTGCCCGTGTCAGCCCTTGCCATGGCAGATGAGTGAGGTTACTACTGTAATTTTTCCGCTTTGTGGAACTAGACCCGAGGCACCACGGACTGCAGCACTTTTCCACAACCGGACAGTGTAGGTAAAATCACACTCACTGGCTCTAGAGTCTAGAGCCCTCTCTCTCTCTCTCTCTCTCTCTCTCTCTCTCTCTCTCTCTCTCTCTCTTTCTCTTTCTCTCCTCTTTCTATATATATATATATATATATCTATCCATGCTCAGAATTTTACTTTCTGGGTCAGGAGAGTGCAGCCTGAGTCCGTGGGTAGCTATGAGATGGGCGTGGCTTCTGGGTTAAGAAATCTTGAATTTGAAGCCCAAGCTCTTCCCACACCCTCCATCCTTCTGCTTTGGTGTAATCACAGCCCATGCTAGCAGTTTAAGAGCTGGAGGGCCTAGTTCTAGAAAGTTCTCTCCCAGGTACCTTTCCTCCCCCCTCTCCCTCCTCTCCCATTGTTCTTCAATCTTTAGCTGTTGCATGTTAGCTTCCCAATCATCACCTTATCCAAATTCAACTCTTACTGCGGTTTTAAAATTTAAATGTTTCCTTCGATTCACTCACAGTATTTTAAATGAACAAATTGGTTTTAAGAGAAAACTTTTGATCTGCACCATAATGGGAAAACCTATGCTATATGACATGGATATATTTATGTAAAAAAATGTCTATAAATCAATGAAAATAAGTCATATTTACCACAGATAGTAAGTTCTAGCATAATATCTACTCTTCGGTGGAAGATGGAAATGAGTGAGTCTCAGATGAGTGTGGAGGACATATTAGCACCACATTAGGGTGTTATTTTCCTGGATGTGACTACGGGATAGGAATAATAAAGAAAAGGAAAACCACTTTCCCCCAGGTTTTACTAATCTCACCACATCCCCTCAGCACTGAAGCTGTTCTCCCAGGGCGTGAGCCCTCTCCCTGGTGTGCCCTGCCCGCACACTGCCCACCATATGGCTTCACCATTTTGCTCTGAACTGGATTGGATTCTCTGCGGTCACGCCCTGCTGGGCCTGAGCTCGTCATGTCTGGAGAAATGAGCTTGACAGTCACCGCCGCGGAGTGTGTGCACGCTGAGTGTCTGTCACTGTGCCACGTGCTTCCCGCATGGGACTTCTCGGTGTGACCTCCTCCAGGTCTCATCGCCAGATAGGCACGGTTTGCACAGGCTCAGCAGCCGAGGCCCAGAGGACTGGGGCAGCTTCCCAAGGTCACACCACTTACGTGACAGAAACTGGACTGGCCGCCAGCTCAGGCCCGTCCATCCCCTGAGCTCATGGTGCCCATACCCCTGTGCTCTGAAGTGACTATGGTTGGTGCATTTTGTGTGGAAACAGAGCCCTGTCGTCAGTGGTCACCAGAAAGCTGTTCCACTGCAGCTGGGAGAGGTCTCTGTTGCCGGTTTCACCTGGGAACAAAAATATTAGCCACTTTCCAAGCGGGGAGTGTGCATGTCGCATGCTGTGTGCTCCAGTGAGAAGCACTGTGAAATGAGAAATGAGATTAATGTTTCAGATTGTACAGTTTCCTAATTATGCTTTAATTATTCATATAAAACAAGTAAAATGACCCCTGACAGAGACATAAATGATTTAGGTAAAATCAAATATTAATAAGTTGCTGCGTGTCCCTGGGTGTATTGTAACAGATGCACTCCGAATGCTTTACCTTCGTCCTTCGGATGTAAAATATTACCTGTAGGGTTTATAGCAGACGGAGAGTAATCAATGGCATTGAAGACACTGCTGAGCTAATGCCTATGCATTTCGGCTTTGAAACTAAAGGTGTATGACTAGTTTACTATTCTCTTTTATTTTCTAAAATATCACATTGCATTTTAGAGATCACCAAGTTATGCGTCCCGCCTCCCCCCCCCGCCCCCCCGTTTTTGTTTTTGCATTTTTTAGTGATTGAAAAAAAAATCAAAAGGATGATAATATTTCATGACACATGAAAATATATCCAAATTTCAGCGTGGATAAATAAAGTTTTATTCAACATAGCCTGACCCATTCACTTACCTAGTATGTTTGGCTGCAAAGATGAGGTTGAGTATTTGCAACAGGGACCACAGAGCCAGAAAGCCTTAACTGTTCCCTCTCCCACCTTTTCTAGGAGCAGTTTTCCGGCTCTTGTTCTAAAGCTTGTGTAGCGTGCCCTAAAGGGGGAGCAGTCCCATGGGTGTTAAATAAGCATAAGAAACACTTGCATTTTATTCTTTAATTTGCAATCTCACTAACTGAACAGTCATTGTATATGTTTCAGAAGTTCGAGAAATACTGCCTTTTGAAATGCCATAAAAAAGGGGTGTATATGAGCAGGGTTCCTGCACTTGCATTTAATGCTTCCTTTATATGGAGAAATGCTGGAAATAATGGCATTGTTTCGGAAATACTAGGTTCCTAGTCTAGTTTCTATCTTTCAGGAAGACCTAATTTTCATGCAGGGAAGGGAGAGGGATAGAGAGATATAATAGAAACATCAATGATGAGAGGGAATCACTGATTGGCTGCCTCCTGCATGCCTCCTACTGGGAATAAAGCCTACAACCTGGGCACGTGCCCTTGGCCGGAATCTAACCTGGGACCCTTCAGTCCGCAGACCGAAGCTCTATCCACTGAGCCAACTAGCTGGGGCGGAACTGGGACTCTTTTAGGAAGAGGGGACCGTGAGGCTACGAGAGCGTCTCCTGGGCTTCAGCAGGCTTGGCCTTTGATTATAAACCATTCACTGTTGGTTGGCATCTTATATTTAGTTAACAGCCAGTAAGTGTTTGAAAGAATGAATGAACTCACCTTAGAAATCCGGAAAGGGGGAGATGTATCACTTATAGAACCTGTTTTTTATGCAGTTGGATATCACATTCCTTGTGGAAAACGTAATTTTTTGTTATTGTAAGTCCAAGTTATATGGTCTTGAATTCTCTTTCCCATGTTTCAAGGAAGAGTTTTTCGGGTTTGAGTTGATTGCTGCTCCCTAAGGACATGGACATTCATATGTGTTCTTCTAGATGGGCGAAGGGAATTTTCTTATACTTGGAATGAACAGAAACTGCAAAGTAACCCTAATCTGCAATGATTTCAGTGACTTAATGAGTAGTTTGCTTTATACTTTTCTGAGCACATTTTTCAAATGCAATGAATGCTTTACCCAACCCTGCTCCCTTTTCACTGTTGCCTTAATAATTGGAAGAACCTGCTCATTTTATTTTCTGATATCTTGCCTCTTTCTGATTAAAGAAATGTGCCTCTCACCTTCCGCTTATCAGATATATTTTCCATTTCATTCCAGATCTTGAATCTTGGGGTAGACCCAGGAAACTCACTCTCCAGATCATTTTGATCATCAATCAGTTTTAGGAGACGTTGATTCAGAGTGACTTACTCAGTCACTGTCTCAAATTCTCCATCTGTGAAATGGATAAGGCATTTTGAGACCATTCCCTGGGAATTTCCATGATTTAGAGCGAGTTGTTGCTTGAGAGCAGTCTGAAGCTACAATGTGCTAATTTATTCAGATGGCTTGTTTTTTATTGTTGTTGTTGTTGTTTTAAACAGGCACAAGAGGAAAGGTAAACTTTATTTGAAGCAACAGAGGAAACCTATTGAATTTGCTCTGGAAACTCACTTTGTTTCTCTCCCCTTTCCTTTTCCACAGTTGCCATCCTTCTGAAAGACGACTATTTCGTCAGTGGCGCTGGCCTGCCGGGCAGATTCAAGGCTGAGAAGGTGGAGTTCCACTGGGGCCACAGCAATGGCTCTGCGGGCTCGGAGCACAGCATCAATGGCAGGCGCTTCCCCGTGGAGGTGAGAGAACTGGGAGCTCCAGGTGGCGAAGGGCAGCTGTGCCTGGAGTCTTCCCATTAGCGAGATGCTGTGTCTTTGCTCCTAGTCGCTTTGCAAACCAAACGTGTTCTGTCTCTCCCTTTGTCTGTGGGACTCCTTCACGCATGCATGACAGGTGCCTCTCCATCCTCACATTCCCACTCTGTCTAACCAGAGATGCATGTAGACGTCATGGTCATCTGGATTGAGTAGATTCGGGTCAGGGCGATGAGTTGCAAGCATTTGTTTCATTTACAGTCTCTTTTCCCTGTCCATTTCAGAAACCCTGCTTTTTAAAATATATGTTTTTATTGATTTTTTTTTTTTTTTAGAGGGGAAAGAAGGGAGAGGGAGAGACAGAAACATTAATGATGAGAGAGAATTATCTATTGGCTGTCTTCTGCACACCCTAGTGGGTATGGTACCTGCAACCCAGGCATGTTCCCTGCCTGGGAATTGAACCAGTGACCTCCTGGTCCCTGGGTCGATGCCCAACCTCTGAGCTGAAACCCTGCTTTCTGACTGTGAAATTTTGTAGGAAATTTAGATGACTCCATGCTTGCCCTTTGGTAAACAGAAAAGCTGGTTGCTCTGTGAAGAACAGCCTCAGAAGCTTCTCTCCGTAGGGAAGCGGTTTGAAGGTTTGCTTCCTCCTGTCAGCTGTTAAAACAAGGCCGTGGCCGTTGGTGGCTGTGCCGGTTAACTCTGCTGGGATCGATGCGGACATTTTGCCTCCCAGGTCAGTGTTCTGAAAGATGCCTGCTGCTAGGCAGGAAAACGCCTGGGTGCAGTGGGTCACGCCTGTCTTTTTTGTGACGTTTGGGAGGGGAAAGAGCAAGTCTCCAAGCCTTTATTCATGTTGGAGGACAGAACACCTGCCCGTTGCTAACCTTATTTTTTCTTTTAATAATGGTAAGGATGACAGTCTTGTGTTGGGACAAACATGTTTGAGGGTCGTTTGATTACCCGTGCGGTAAGCTCTACAGGTTTGTGGAAGAGCTGAACGGCTGTGCATCCAAGCCTATCTAAGGTGGGACGCACACATGGGATAGCTCTTAGTGTTTTGTGACTTCTCTCAAGTCGTGACCTATTTTGATAACCTGATGAATGCTTGAGACCCCTCCCTCCATAGAGAAAATACATGTGTGTGCACACAGAATTGGCATATAATTTGTAGGATTTCATCACTCACGTTAGCTCCTCGAGCCCTTTAAATGATCTTACCTGAGGTGAAAATCCCTACAAGATGAGAAAATATGTATTATTTCTTTATGGATACGTGTGTGTGTGTGTGTGTGTGTGTGTGTGTGTTTCTTATCCATGATTCCTGGAGAAACCACATATAGCTACTTCTGTGAATGCTTCATATTTTTTATAGTTTAGCTGAGAAAGTCTCACTATCAAAACTGTTTAGTACTAGGATGCATCTCTCTGTGGGCCTTCTTGTCCTCCTCACACTCATTATAATTCTCATGAGTAGGATTTCTGCTTAATGGCTCTCCTCCCCGCCTTTAAATGGAATGAATAATTTCTTAGAAGTTTTAGCTTTATTTCTGCTTGATTCTTAGAAACAAGATTGCATCAGATTTCTCAGATTGGGTTTTCTCTTCTGCTCCTGCTGAACATTTGCCAGGGGTAGTTTGAGTGGAAGGGATCGTTTGTACCAGGTTTGCTCCGAAGCTTCTTTGTCTTAGAATCGGGTTATGATTTGTTCAGTTAATATTGTTCCAGACAAGAGACTTGTGCTGAAAAGCTTGAAAACTTATTTTGGCATCTGCCGTGGAAAGGAAGAACTCTGGAGCCGGCAGCTACAACTTCTGCCTTTTCCCTGATCACATCCACTCATACCAAGGCTGGCCTGTCTCCTCATCAAATTTGCTTCTGAAAAAATGCATAGACTAGAATGCATGTTCTTTAGGAAAATGTTACTTTAAATGAATATTTTTATTTTCTTTTGTTCAAAGAGTGCCATGAAGTTCAAAACTAATTAGCAATGGAAGCTGCAACACCCAGACTTACTGTTTAACCAAGTTGTTTCAATTTATGTCTTTCAAGTAATGTCAGATGTTCAGGCTGCTGGTATTAATTGGATTTCTCATCCAGTCCCATCTAGTTCATAGTTTGCTTTATAAATATGATAAACATGTTAAATTACTTAGTGGATATGCTTCGAGGGAGTTGAATTTCAGAGATCAAAGGTAATGGGATCAAATTTAACTTTAAAATATGCAAAGAAAAATTGCTCATTTTTGCCCAAAACACATCTGTAATATTTTGTGTTATACTAGAGGCCTGGTGCACCAATTCTTGCACATTGGAAGTAAATTAGGTAGAAGGTGGTTGGCCGGGAGGGAATGGGCGAGATGGGCCTGACACACCCTGAGCCAGGGGTCCTCAAACTTTTTAAAGTGGGGGCCAGATCACGGTCTCTCAGAGAGCTGGAGGGCCGGACTATATGAACTACTAATTCCTACTGTAACACCTCGGCTGCGCTTACTGCCCAAAAAACCTGGCGGGCCGGATCAGACTCCTCTGCGGGCCGCATGTGGCCCGCGGGCCGTAGTTTGAAGACCCCTGCCTGAGCCAACCTCCACAAGTCTCTCCCAGCGGGTCGCACCTGGGGCAATGCCGGGGCTCACAGGGGGTCTGTAGTGTGAGCAGGTGGAGTCACTTGACCTGGCCTGTGGGGATTGGGCCAGAACTGGCAGTCCCACCTTCCTTGAGGGGTCCCTGAGTGTGAGAGGGACCCTGCAAAGTTGCTGTTGCTTGGCAGCTCCTGTGTTGAGCATCTGCCCCCTGGTGGTCAGTACGTATCATAGCTACCGGCTGGTTGGCTGGCCAGCTGGTCGCTTAGGCTTTTATATATATAGATTGCCTTTTTTGAGCTCTTTATTATTAATACCAGCTTTCCCTGAGATGTTCCCACTCTTTGAACATCTCAGACCTGATTTGCTTCTCTCCATATAACTACATTTTTAATGGAATTACAATAAAGGGGTGAAAAACTGTAATGTACCAAGTAGTAATTTATCAGCTTTGGGACATTATTTATTTGTCTTGTATGTGGTGTCAGAGAAGAGTCGTTGCAGAGGGTTGCACTGGGGTTGGCAGAATACAGCATTGCTCCTAGCAGAGTTGTCACTATTGTGGGCAATGGTAAGGTACTCACATTGACTGGGTAACGGCCAGGGACGCGGCTAAAACTTTCAGTTCTTAGGACAGCCCCCACACAAAGAATTATCCTATCCCAGTGTCGCAGCTGTGTGTCTGGAGCATAGGAAGCTTTGCGTTCAGTGAAATCGAACCTTCCTTCATGTGTGTGGCATTGTTTTAAGTTCAATTGAATCATGAGGTTTCCCAGCTTGAGAAGTGTCCCATCCTCTCGTGTTTTGGGGGAGGAAGTGTGCTGGTCTTATGGGGACACGCACCTCTGGGCCAGGTCCTTCTCTGCTCCTCCCGGACAGTCAGGGTTCCGTTTCAGCAGCTGCCCTGGCTTTGCTTGGCAGGTGGAATGTGAAGCATCTGCCCCACAGGAATCTGGATCTGCTCCCTGAGGGTAAATGGCAGCAAACCCAATGTTGTAGGTTTTGCTGCTTCCCAGGAATTCTTTGAGGCCATCCACAGCTTTGTACACATCCGGAAATGAGACCTCTCCACATTTTCCTGGCTGAAATCCTAGACTGGTTCTTGCAGTTCCTCCACTTAAAAATGTCCTGTCTAATAGAAAAATAATGTCCTTGTAAAAATAAAACCAAAGCCCTTCAATAGCCAACATTCTTTACAGCTCAATTAATACTGAAAAAGAAACCAGGAATTAGATTACCAGCCACACCTAGGAGACCAGACCCAGTTTGGGTTCTCAGATGTCCCCACCTTCTCTTAGTCCGCTTTATTCCTTGCCCTGCAGCAGTTTTCCCCTAAGTGTCTTTTGTTCTGTAGGTGCTGAGTTACAAAGGTAAACCAGAGGACTGAGTCCCTTCCCTTAAGGTATTTACAGTCTAGTCAGGACATGGAAACTGAACGAGCAGTCCTGTGAGTAGCTGTGTAATATCAGTAGTGATCTCTGATCGAGGGACATTTGTCACCAGCTGGAAGGCCTCTGTGGAGGCAGATGTTTATTAAGATAAAAGATTTTTACTGAGCGATATTGACTCAGATAGAAGAGATGAGTTGGAGCTTGCCTATCGAACAGGGATAAGCAAAGGCAGGTTAATGCTTGGCAAATTTAAGGAATAAAAACCAGAGGCGGTTTTGGTGAGCAGGATGATGGTCCCCCAAAAAAACCATCCATCCCATAACCTCAGGAACTGTGGATGTATTCGTTTCCATGATAAAAGAGCCTTGAGGATGTCATTCCGGATCCTGAAGTCAGAAGGCTCAGGATAAGCCAGTGGTTAAAACAGTGAGGTCAGAGTGTCTGGTTCTAGTTCTTGCCTGGCCTACTTGGCTTTGCGTTACCTGTCTAATCACAGTTACCTAGTGTGCCTTCTAGGCTGTCTTAAGTCTTCTCCCTAACCCTGTGGTCGGCAAACTGCGGCTCGTGAGCCACATGCGGCTCTTTGGCCCCTTGAGTGTGGCTCTTCCACAAAATACCATGGCCTGGGCGAGTCTATTTTGAAGAAGTTTAAGTTTAAAAAATTTGACTCTCAAAAGAAATTTCAGTCGTTGTACTGTTGATATTTGGCTCTGTTGACTAATGAGTTTGCCAACCACTGCCCTATCCCATACTCATTCCCTGTCCTCTGGTTGGTAACTTAAATGAATGCTCATGTGACACTAATAGGGATTGAATCATGTGGTGTTTCCACTAACAGCTCGAGTCGGAGTTAATGCAAAGAGAAATCTCCAGGTAAAGCCTCTGAGAGCTCCATTAAAGTGCAGGTTCATTGCATGCTTGTTGTCTGAGGTAATTAAAATCTTGTTTATTACAATAAGAGATCACAGGAGTTGTTGATTTAGACTTATTGGCGCTTTATGAGTTG